ATAAGAGAATAATTGCTGAGTCACAACTAAATTGACAGGCCATGTGCATGTTACTGTTGAGTTATGGATTGGCCTAACGACAAAATCCATTGTCTTTCACAGCCCTCTCTAATTTATATTTCTATATGGAAATATTCAGGTGTTTGTTACAGCTACAATTTCTAGAGTGATTTCCAGGAGTATTACGAAGGGACCGTTTTGATTCAGTCAACTTGCTTTTTCTTCACACAGATTGATTTTAAGTTAATCAGAGCAGTCCATGTTTAAAATACAAAACAAATTAAATAGGCAAAGCACTATGGCACAAAATCTCAAACAGATTTATAAAACTAAACTACTATTTAATTTAATGTTGCTTTAAAATGGTAGGATTAAAAGACTGTAATACTTCAGTTTTTAGTGAGCTAATTTTTGGTTTCATGCTCCACTGGGATCCTTACTGGAAATATGATTTCAACAATTCTGGCACGTTTAGATTGAAGATCTAAAACAAATTATATGCAACACACACCCAAATTGAATGTTGTGCACTCTTAGTGAAAGTTACATGATGAGAACACAAAATTGGAAAGATTTGAAAGGAACAGAAGAGAAAGATTCACCAAACTTCTGATAACCAGCAGATGGCAGCCTAGTCGCAGCAAAAGAGTAAATAGTCCTCAAACATATTGTTGACCTTTTGAGTATTTACAATGTTTCTGTTTAATTTCACATTCTGAATGTTTTTTAATCGACTTTGTAATTAATATGGGTCTTGATACCTGATACACTTCTTGTGGGTTCAGAGATCTCATACTGGATGATTAATTTTTAGTATAATTTATTCCAGAATAAAAGCAAACAAAACTTTTAAGAATGACCTTCGATTCTATCTTTGGCTCCTTCCTATTCATCTACAATTGCCTCCTCAATAATATTATCAGCAGATTTTTTAATTGTTTCCTCATGACAATCAATTCACAGTTTAACATTTAGAGTAATTCTGGTATTTGAAACTGGGATACTAGCTAGGTGGCATGACCTGTGCAAAAACAGAAGGAGGTATATTTGCCTCTTTGTACACTGTGCAACCCCATTCCTCCATATGCCAAGTGACCAAAAAAAGTACATGACACAGATATTTACGAATAAATCACATCGTACGTCATAACATTTATGTACCCCTGTCCATGTACCCTGCCTTATTGCTGGCATTTTTGCTGATTTCCTCAAAATTCAGACAGTTGAGTACAATGAAGACTGACACTTCAGTGCAGACCTTTGAAAATATTGACTAAGACTTTGCAGCAGCAACAGAGTAAGGATGCTGAAGGGCATCTATGGATGGGCAATAAATGATGGCCAGCCAGTGACGTCCACATCCAACAAAATGAATTTTTTAAAATGCTCATAACTGACTGTGACATAGGTTTTGCTGAGAAATCTTGTAATGTCTCTGATGAAAATTTCAGCTCCAGTTCCATTCAGTAGTGCAGCAACTGATTCAGCAATCTTTACTGGGCATTAACAACTTGAAGCAGCAGTGAAGTCATCAGACGATCTAAACACCTGAAAATGTTAAAATATTTTCACAAATAATCTCATCCCTTAAATCAGAAGCACAAAGCACTGAAATAAAATGTTTTAGAGCAAATTACATATCGGCACATATATGTGCGGTGAGGATAGAAGATAAAACATTCTAAATAAAATCTTTAAAATTAAGCTTTAGAAAAGTATTCACTTTATCAGTCCATGAATATAAAATTATTTTTTCTGAAATTCTGTACATCAAATTTTATTCATTTTTAAAAACTTAGTTATGTCTGATTGAACAAGATGTAACTTTTTATAGATTTCTACTTGAGTCATTCTAAGCAGAACCTTGGAGGGGTTGGGGCGATGCAGTGTGTATGTCACAGCCCATGTTGGAGCTCTAAGGGACAAACTGTAATTCTAGGATATCCTCATTAATCACATCTGACCTTGAGATTGCATCAGAGGAGTAGGAAAGTTGACTTTTCAGATCAGGACCCTTCTTCTGAAGAAGCCACTTCTGAAGAAGGGTTCCGACCTGAAACGTCAACTTTCCTGCTCCTATGATGTTGCCTGGCCTGCTGTGTTCCTCCACCTCCTCGCTGTGTTATCTTTGACTCCAGCATCTGAAGTTCTTGCGAGCTCTAACCTTGAGATTGCATCTGTTTCAGAGGGATAATCATTGCATAAAGTTCTGAAAGGGTTAATATGGAATGCCCTAGGCACCATCCGTTATGGTGTCATATGGACTTACAGGAAGAATGGGATCTCAAAACCTAATATCCAGATCAGAGACTGTATTTATCATCAAAGTAACCTGTAATTAGTTGCTAACATGTAATAAACTACTACTTATTTAATACAAGAGCCTGTTTTAATAAGACCAGTAAATTGTTTCTTTTACCATAGTTGACCAAACAGGCTCTGGAGATCCCTTAGAGAATGGTAGCACTAAACATGCCAGATGGAGGTGTAGACTCTGTTTGAGTGTACATGCAACAAACTCTTGATTCCATATTAGTTGTGTTGTGCAACTTATGAGCATTGATGTACTGGACCCTATGAATAGCCACAGGAAGAATGGTTGTGTTTGTATACTTGTAATGTGTAAAATAAACAAAGATAAATGTGTTTAAAGATTGGCTTCTAGGTATTTTTTAATCAGTCTGCTCAAGGATGTTTTATGGCACATCTCTGGAGCAGATGGGAGTTGAACTCATGGTTAAGAGTTAGGGGACACTGCCATTGCACCATAAGTGCCCTCTTGGCTTCGGTTCTATGCTACAGTACATGGCTTTCTGGCAGAGGAGAGCTGTTTAGCATTTATGTCACCAACATAATTAAAATTATAGTTGGTTAATTTGCAGGTTCTTGCTAAGACTAGCCAGTGTTCAAAAGTACTTGAGGTACTTCTCTCAGTCAATTAATTTCTGGGGTCACGAAAAATGCAATAACTGCAAACATTTTGCAGAATCCATTGATAGCTTGAGTTGTCAGGTACAATGCAGTTCACTCATATCCAGGTATGAATCAATACACGTGCTCTTAAATTGTAATACGCAGCTGGTGGTGAAAGGTGAATCTGTGATCACTTGTGAACACTGAACTAATTTTAAATTCTGTCCAGACCCTTGGAAACTGGAAACAAGATGGCAGCAGAGTGGGATAACAA